CAGAAGTTTCAGAAAACATAAACATATTACGTAGTTTTGCACAAAGGACATTATGGTTTACTGTATCGAAGGCCTTACTATAGTCCAGTAAAACTAAGAGTGTAACATTGTTTTCGTCTATTTGTTCCCTTATGTCGTCTGCAATTTTTATAATAGCTGAGGTACAGCTTCTGTTTTTCCTAAAACCAGACTGATTATTAGTAAGCATTGCATTGTCGGACATAAATTTATTAATTTGATCAGCCATGAGATTCTCAAATACCTTTGATAGGTATGGTAAAATGGAGATGGGTCTGTACTCATTATTTGATTTAGGAATCGGAATTATTTTTGCCGCTTTCCAACAGTCCGGATAAGTAGATTTTGTCAGTACAGTATTAAAGGTATAGGTTATGTATGGCAGGATTTTTGGCAGCAGAATTTTTATGAATTTAGGGTTTATGTTGTCAGACCCAGTGGCGTCACTCTTAATTCTTAGTATACTTTGTAGGACATAACACTGATTAACACACAAAAACCTAAATCTAATATCACAGACAGTTTCAGATACAAATCGTGGTATATTTATTTTCAGTGATTTCAGGTACTGTGCAGCTTAAGAACTTTTTATTAAGTTCATTTTCATTTATGTCTTGTTCAAGTCTTGGTTTAACTTTGCATATTCCCAGATTTTTAATTATTTTCCATGTTTGAGCAGTGGAAGATGCGTTGTTGAATTTATGGAAATATAAATTTGTCTTGGCGGCGTTAGTAAGTTTGGTCACTTTTTTTCTCAATAACTTGAACACTGTGTAACCTTGAGGTGTCCTGTACCTTTTCCACTTATTGTACGCCCCGTCACGCTGTAATATTGTGTCTTTGATATTTCTTTGGAACCATGGTATTTCAGGAAAACGATTAACTTTGCTTCGAACAGGTACGAGACAGTTACATAAATAATTAATATTGTTTTGTAAAAGGTTAACTTGTTCGTCTACTTCGGAAAGAGAATATATGTCATTCCAATTGCACAAATTAAAGGTGGAGTCCAAATGGTCATAGTTGATGGATGGTCAAGTTATTGTAGGTCAAGTGCGTAAGTCAAGTATATGAGGTCATGTTTTGAAAACGATGGGACAATAAGTTGGTCATATGTAGCTACTTTGTCTGTATCAGACACAAGTTAACAGACTTCATCCCCAGCGATTTCATGTCCTCTGCAAGGTGGGATTCCCTAAAATAATGCTATTAAAATCGCCTGTTATAACGACGTCTGAATAATTAATTGACACGTCAGTTTTAATATTATTGAAATCGGACAACTATATCATATAGCTTTCATTGATACGACACAGACCAAAGAATTGTTTCGCTCCTGCAAGAGTTGCTGAAAGAAAAATGAGGTAAGGTTGCGTTTTGCGATGGCACAAGTGCAACTGCATGTTTCTGCAGTTAAAATAAACATTTTTATAGCCTTGCAGAGGGTATTATAATTTCAGTCAGATATTTGCAACGCAGTGAAGGAGACGTTTCCGACCCTATAAAGTATATATATTCTTGATCAGCATCACTAGGAGAGTCCATTTAGCCATGTCCGTCTGTCCGTCCGTTTCTACGCAACTAGTCCCTCAGTTTTAAAGCTATCTGCATGAGCGAGCCGGAACAATCGGAAAAATAAATGAAAAAAATTATAACTTTGCTGTTTTTCAATGTTTTTAACATATACGCAAGCTAATCATAATTTTAAATGTTTTCAAGAACATTTAATTTTTGCAATAACTGCAAGGGTATATGAATTTCGGCTTTCCGATGTTTGTTTGCTTTATTGTTATAATCTTAATATAACAAATAATAACGGGGTGTAAACACCATATAGGGGCAACCGGGGGATATTTTTGTATTAAACCTGGGAGATTTCACTAAAAATCTGCATACTATAGATTATAGCCGCCATAGGAACAATCAGTGTAAAACGAGTTTTTGCCGGAAAATCTATTTTGCCTTAAAATAATAATGACAGAAATGATACATGTATTTACCAAAAAAGACCATCAAATAAAAAATATTTTTAATTTATATGTTTACCCTTTTACATTTATGTCCATATATGTGAATTGTTAGTTCAAACATACATCTGAATGGGTAAAAAAAATTTTGTTTCATATAGTTTCGTCCAGTAAATCAATAGCTGATTTAAGTAGCTTGGAAGTTTTCTTTGACCAGCAATAAAAGGATCAGAACTTAAAAACAATCTGTTCTGTAACAGTATTCGACAGGACCCTTGAAATTTTCCGCGTAAGGTTTAAATAATTTAATGTATTAATTTTTGAAGTACAGAAGCACGTCTTTTTTTTTAATCTGAGGTTAGGTTACCTTTTCGTATATTTGCAAGCCGGCAAATATTCTTTTATTCTTAAAATGCTTAGGAATTATATACTAAACAATTTTGTTGTCCCCAAGAATGCTATCACAACTAATAGTCGGCGCTTTAAAACGCATTAAGCCTAAGGCGCATTTATTTACACAGGAAATCCCATAAGGCTAAATGCCGCATTTAAAATAAATCATTCGCCCCGAACGGTTTTAGAAAAAAAACCCGTAATTTGTTCGTGCCACCACTACAACAGCTGTTTTTCCACATGCAAGGTTGGCGCAATTTACAATTTCTTTCGAATATAAAATCTATTTTGAATAAAAATGACTGATAACAAGAGCGCACGATCAAATTCTGGTCCCAGTACCGCAATGCATTACTGCTGGATCTCTGACAGGAATAACTCCCAAATATACGGGGATCCTTTCCCTTTTTAAAAACTGTGGTGGTCGCTTTATGGATGTCCTGCTGAGCATTAAAGAGTTGAGTTAACTCACTCATATTCATTAATCATTACCAAACACAGAAAAGAATTTAATGCATTTATTTAAAATATAGCACATCCATTGCACAAACATTTGTTTTTAATAAGCTTAAAAAATTTATTGAGGAGAGCTTCCCAAGCACGTTGCTCACGCTGAAATACCCATGATATTTCATGCTTTCTCTTGCGGTGCTATTCTTGAAGAGGACAGATAGAGAAAAACAAAAAGATGAATGAATTCAAATAGCTAGACCAATTATAAATAAGAATTGGTCCTGTAAAACTCCAGTAATGCAACATGATGTGCAGATAAATACGTTTATTTAATTAGTATATCAGGGTTCCCACAGGTACATTTAAATCTAAAATTTTGGTTTCATTTAATTTTTTTATTTATGGCCTATGGAACCGACCACTGTGCAGTGGTTTGACAACCTAACGCGTGGGAAAAAGAAAGTGTTTTGACGGGCGACTGGGTTTCCAACTGCAGTTATTTGTTAGCTTAGGCGAGTTTTTAACTCTCATTTATATTACCTCTTTTTATAAACATCGAATTTATTTAATAGCCTGATTCCATTACCACATTAGTGGACATTTTAAATGTGCCTGATTCCATTGGCGCATTAGCATTTAGCTAATGCTACTTCGGCAAGTGAGTGGCACGAATAGCTGATCTGGGTTTGTTTACTTTTGAATTGTCGCAAATCAAAAATTAAAACTCATGAATATGAGCGAACTTACGGATCAGCAGGACATCCATAATGCGACCGAGGCATTTGTCAACTTGGTGGACAAGGAAAGAGAGCGATGATGTTGTTTGACGGGTTTGCAAAGGAGACCACCACAGTTTATAAAAAGAGAAAGGATCCCCGTATATGTGGTAGTTCTTTCCTGCCAGAGATCCAGCAGTAATGAATTGTGGTACTGCGACCACGATTTGCTGCGTGTGCTCTTGTTTTCAGTTCAAGTAGATCGTTCCTCCCACCGATCCAAAACACTTCGTACCCGACGAACCTACGGACGAATCACAGATCGTAAGAGCGTGGCCTTTCAGCAGCCGAAGTCGTGGGGATATCACCGAGCGACTGCACACCGAGACACTTCGAAGCATCGAGCAGGCGAGACCGTCTTACACCGAAGCGCCGACACCCTGGAGAACGAGAGTTTTATATACAAATTACCTTCTGTTGAACTTAGTTATTATATAAACCTAAATATAAGCACATTCTGTAGCGGTCTCGTCAGTGCTGTAATTGGGGAAGGGGAGATAATCAGATCTAAAAGAATCAAACAGAAATTTATATCGCCTTCCAAAACAGGGTCGTTACAAATGGTTTTGAAGAACTAGTATAATGCTTTTTGCAGTGATGCTATTAAAAAAAGTTAATATAACAAAAAACTAAAAATTTTTGTTTTTAGTTAAAGCTTGTGGTCGCACAAATATGATGCTATACATCGCAACAGGGACACTCTGACACTCGGTGGCTCATCATTTGATGGCTGCGATCGACTGTGATCGAACCACAGAAACTATTATTAATTTAAGGACACTGTATAAAGCTTATATTATAGTTTTATAGTTTTCCACCTCTGCAGAAGACACGCCATTTACTGCTCTGCAGAAGACACGCCATAAACTGCTCTTCAGAATCCCCATGTATCTCAAGGTTCGCAACGTGGTCCTAAAGCCTTCATTTTCCGGAGATTCTTAACAAGTCTAGGAACTTCGTCAAGGTTCAGAGATGAGCATCGGACGGAGCCTTGTGATAGAAAATTTTGAACATTGCTGTTCCATGATTAAGAAAATATATATTTAAGTTTTAAGTAAGCTTTGCTTACTATCACCTACTCCATTGCCAACGAATTGCCTTATCGCCGGTTGAGTAACTGCTTAGGCTTTTAATGTCGTTGACTCTGTTTTCGCACAAATTCTCTATATACGGTGTTGGCCAGCCTTTTTATATCAGCAGAAAAAAATATCATTGTGAACCATATTCATGTTTTTTTCTTCTAGTACTAAACAAATTTTTTGTTCAATAAAAAAAAAAAAAATTTGCAATCCCTAATGCTTAGGAACATTCAACAAATTTTACTGGGTAATTTTATATTGTTAGTAAAGTTGAAAATTTTAACCTAATAAATTTGTTAATTTTTTTATTTCAGTGTCAGAAGTGTTATGTATAAATATTTGGAAAAGGAAACCGAACTTAATTTTCATAAAATTTTTAATGAAGTTTTGGGTATGTATTTCGCCACATTAAGTATTTTATTGAAGAATTCTTTTTAGGTTATTTGCTCTTCAAAGACTTTTGTGAGAACGATTCGGATGAACCCATACAGCAACTAAAGTTTTATGAACAGGTACAATATTTTTTTTTTAATTGTATTATTTTTATTTTATTTTATTTCGTTCTAGATAAAAACATTTGAAAAAACAGAATGTTACGATGAGAGAAAAAAATTAGCCAGAGAAATTTATGATAACTTTATAATGGAGGAAATGCTGTCACACACCTATGCAAGTACTCTGAAGTTAAAATAAAAACGTTTTTAATACCCATAAATTTAATTATAGGACTATTCTAAAGATGCTGTTGCGAGTGTTCAGAAATACTTATTAAAAAATGAAGTTCCCGTTGACTTATTTGAAGTAAGCCCTTACAATCTGATATATGTTCTATCTTTATTAACACTTGTTTACAAAATGCAATCGACAATTTACATGATTTTCCTGGACGGTTGGATTCCATTAACCTAAAACAATTTTTAAAGCATTTTCCTTAGCACTTGTCTGTAGCTAAACTAGTTTACAAGTTATAGCCGTGCAAAGTTCAGCTGTTTCTAAAGATTTTTTGCTACATAAGCTAGTTTTTTAAAAAGTCGAAGAACAAACTTTTTTTTAACGACCTGCCCAACACAAAAAAAAGTATTCCAGAATTCTAAAAAAAAGTCCTTAAAATTTGTTGAAACTGAGAAACGATTAGAACATTTTTGTAATTTTAAATATACAAAAAAAAATATATTTATTGAATAACTTATGAATGGAGATCCAAGCAAATTTTGAAGAAAATTTAAACTGTGTTCAAAAAGTGTAATATTTTACCAAATATTATACCAGGAACTCATCTAAAAAAAATTGTTAGTATGTCACTTTCACCGCCCTTTCTGCACAACCAATTAATTTTCCTAAAGTCTTGGTATGCAATTCTTTTTCATTTAGCGATACCTTTTGGTTGGTGTCTTACTCGTCACATCACATCAGATTTTCAATTCTGCGGCTATATAATATTAGTCTCCTATGCACACGCTCTTGGTGCGCATCGACACTACAAGTACTATCGTTCATTATGATATTTCAAAAGCTAAGCCCATTTTCCGATTTATTATTCAAGATTGATAAAATTTTAATAAAATTGAAACCGTAATTGTAAAATAATAAACCATCTCGAAACATGTTAAAACAAGTAAATTAAAAAACTGTGATGCTATATTTTTTTTTATTAATTGTCCTATTGCTACTTATGCAACTAGATTTTATCAAAATTAAATTTAAATTTTATTAAGTTTAAATTTTGAATGTCAAACGATCACTATACATATATGATATAGTCGTCCGGTCTTAATAAAGTTAAAGCCGTAATTCTTAAATAATAAACCATTACAGGCCTGTTCCAGCTTTCACTCGGAAGTGAGTTTGATGACGTTTTCGGATTTCCCTTTAACATCGGAAAATTTCCCTTTTGGTCCCTTCTGTTCCCAAACAAAATCAGCTGACTGGCAGCTGTCCCCTTTTGACAAAGCCGTTTGATTTGTCAGAGTTTTGCCGCCCCAGGACTGATTAAATTTTGGCCCGCTGGTGTCACTCAACTTATGTCGTTAATGGTATACTAGCTTAACGAATAAAATCGAAGGAACTGGCATAGGGGTCTCAAATACAAATTTTCAAATGTTTTTATGCCGCTCTTTAGCCAGTGGTTTGTTCGGTGTTGTGTACTTTTCACAAGGTTGCAACGAAATTCGTTTCGCAAATAGTACATAAAATTATGTGGTAATAAGAACAAAAATACTTTTACATTTGGATTAGATTAAACACCTAACTTACCATATTTGTACGAACACAAAAGGGAGTGCTAAAAATAAGTCCCAAGAAAATACTTGTCTTTTTTCGTACCATGACAGCTCTGGCATCTTCCTGTTAAATTCGTTCGAAAACTGAAACAGAGGCGGCGGATTTGTAAAAATGCTGAAGGCTGGAATCGAACCGATTCTGAAACGCAACCACAAAATAATTTTTAATAGGTGAAATATGTTTATATAAACCAAATTTGCAAAGCAGTAATGTTCTTAAAACATAAAAATAAAAATTATCAAAATAATCTGCAAAGTATTTTAAATCAATTAACAAAGAATTAACAGAGGGAATTTAGATTCCATGTGAATATTTCGGAAGTGAAAACTGCAACAGGTTTGAGAAACTCGAATCCGAGTGAATCTTTGGGAAGTGAAAACTGGAACAGGGCTGATAGTAATGGCTGCCATAGGACGATAGAATAATTGAGCTAAAAATCTTTATAGCTTTAATGTTTTTAAATATACACGTGTCGGAGAGGAATTCGTTTTAAAGATGTTCGCTAAGCCTAGCAAATTCTGCTCGTCTCAACGCCGCTTTTCGAACTGACACCTACGGAAAAAGAACTCAACTTGTCAATTCCTTTTTGTTCCTTCCTCTATTCTCACTCAGTTCGGGACAAACGATCAAACCTCACTCAGTAGCAGACTCGAAAGTCCCGCCTCTAGGCCTATTTCCTACGAATTGCGCATTTGCATCACGCAGTTTAAAAAATATTTGCCGCCTATGCGGCGCCTATTTTAAATTACATTCGCTGTATACTATACTACAATGAACATGTACCAGTGCCCCCTCACGGCTTTCCTGACTAGTCACACGTTTTTGTGTGTTGGCATTAGATCACTATATTTTCACACGTCAGTTGTTATTGATTTTTATTGTTAACAAACACTTAATTTACTTTTCTTTACATAATTTAAGGTATTTAGACAAAAATAAACAAATTGATTTCTTAATAACGTAACATAGATTCTTTTTATTACATTTTCTTCTGAGCCATACTTAATAACTGGTGTATTTTCATTTATACCCAGTTTCCGACCCCAAAGCACCTACTGTGCCATCCTTATCCTTATTTCCCACTTGGAAATCTGACGCAGCTTCTCTTGAGTCGTCGAAATCTTCATCAACTTCATCACTTATATCTTTATTTGGCGATGCCCTTAAAAAATCGTGAGCATACTTAAAAGTTATTTTGCTTGTTAATGATTTTAAAAACTCTCTCCATATATTAGTTATATTATTTCAAATGAATCCTCAAGTTTTATTTAACAAAACATTGCTTTGTTCTGTCAAACCTACGTTTGTCGTAACGAGCTTAAGCTTCTATGTTTTCCTTAGCTTATTTTCTTAAAGTTTCTCTATCAATTAGACCTATCCTCTTCTTCACCTTTTGGCAATAGACCGAAGGGTCTGGCTTCCTTTTCCAATTTCTAATGGGCTGGCCTTGGTAACTCAATTGGCAGTGCAATTCATTTCTAACTGAACTTGGCTAAGGCATCTTGCCACGACCTCTGACTGGTTTCGACGGCGGTCAACATACTTTTAAGCGTACTCATGCGTTGGCCATTTGCCCTGTTCAAATTTTTTGGGAAGAACAAAATTTACGGAATCCTGAGCTTGCAAAGTTACGTCCCTGATCTGCTATAATTCGAGTTGGCACACCAAACAAACACACAACGGCTTTAACGGCTTTGATAGAACTTTTAGTGTCAATGTCTAAAAGGGTAAAAGCGTGCGATAGTCAGACACCTGTCTGCCCCGCATGAGCTCGTCTGATTTGGATGTGTGTGTGTACGAACCCCTATTGTCAAGGTATCCCGGCAGAAATTATGTAATTTTCTTGACCATTTCCACTGTTGCGTCGCACACCCTTGAATTTGTTTTCACCAAGTCATTTTTGGAATTCTGATTACATCACAAGTTTATTTGTGTGACAAACTAAAGCGTGTTTATAATACGGATTGCAAAAATAAAAAAATATATTTGGAGTAAATACTTTTTACTTAATTTAAAATTACATACACATGAAAATATGAAATAGTTTAATAGAAAAGGTTTTAAATGAAGCAAATATAATGTTAACATAGTTTTTTAGAATTTATATTGATCTATCCCTTCCCTTTTCTTATACCCTTGCAGAGGGTCTTATAATTTCAGTTTGCAACGCAGTGAAGGAGACATTTCCAACCCTATAAAGTATATATATTCTTGATCAGCATCACAGGAGAGTTGATCTATCCCTGTCCGTCTGTCAGTCCGCTTCTACGCAAACTAGTCTCTAGGTATATATGACAAACAAATTATAAGTGCTGTTTTTTTATTTTTTTTTGTTCTTCGGCATATAGTAAGTGTTAAATATTTTAGAATTATGGTTTAAATTTCATCTTAATCGGACGACTATAACATAAAGCTACCATGGGATCAATAAAAAAAAAATTTTTTTAAGGTGTAAGTTTTTTTTTTGTAATATCTTTTAAAAATTCTTTTTGACTTATTAATTATTTGACAGTTCAGAAATACGTTTTTGACTTTATTAAAATTGGAAAACGAAATTATAAAACTGCCATAGGGACTATTGAATAATTGAGCTGCAAATCATCAAAGCTTCAATGTTTTTAAACATATACGCAAGAAAATCATAATTTTAATGTTTTCAAGAATATTTAATTTTTGCGAAGCTGCAAGGGTATATGAACATCGAAAGAGGTTAACCAGTCAATAACAGTCGTCATCTAGATTCCAAACGTTTCCTAGTGTTCCAAGTGCAAAACAGAAGTCACAGCTCATTTTGCCATATTGCTTGTGTTGACTTGCAGGCAGAGGTAGCGAAAATTCTAACAAACTCTCCGAATTTTTTGTGGCAATGCGATAGTTGTGTGGAAGCTAATGATTCGCTATCCAAAACTGACGAACTGGATACCAAAATGAAAAATCTTGAGCGCTTGTATCAGAGCCTTAAATCCAAATTTCTGGACGCATTTCGCAAACAAAGGGGTATTTTTTGGCCGAACCAAAATATTCATTGCAAACCTCGTTAGCCAAGGGCTGTCATTTTACTCGCCGCACAATTGTATGCGGCTACTGCAGCCTCGGCACCGTCGATCGTTGACCCAAATTTGTACCCTCCTGTGGTTCAACAAGTTCGTAAAAATAGGAATAGGAAAAATAAAAAAACAATAGACGTGTTGTTGGAACTGGGCCTAATACAGACGATTTTTAAGTATTGCTGTTAGAACTGGCTAAAAAAAAGACAACACATACGCATTTACAATTTCAAACTGATTTTATTTTCTATAAGTTTAGTTTAATTTAATTTAATTTAATTTATTTTATTTTACGTTTTATCTCAGTGCTACAGGGTTGAATACGTTTAACACTAATGATTTTGTCTTACATACTAACATTATAAAATCTTAAACAGAAAACGGACTGTTGGAATTTAACAGTCAGAAATTAAAAATGGAATACATTTAAAAACGAGAAAGTACAAAAAATAGTGAATTGAACGAAATTATCAA